GGGCCTGTTCGATAAAGGAATGAAGGGACAAATGTATCGGGAACGAATATCTGGAAGAACGACGGCGTCAGTTTTAATGCATAGTATTTATAACAAAAAATCTAAAAATGCGGCATTTTGCCGCAGGCGCGCCCGCTGGAGGGTTTAAAAAATGGTTTATTTGAGAATGGACTAATATTAAAGCAGTATGAACTACCTGAAAATGAGAAGAAAAATGTGGTCCTTTTTCGAACTTTTTTTTGGAAATCTGGTATTAACCACACTAAACCAACTATTAAAATATATTAAGGGCATCTAAACAAAGTGATTCTGGAAAGAGTGGAAATACATGTGCTAGCCAAGTGGTAAATAAAGTAATATTATTTTATTATTATTATATTATTAGAAGTTGTTCATATACAAGAAATATGATGTGGAACTATATGGAATAGTTTAACTGCCTTTCGAGATTAATTGATTAGATTAATGTTGTTGGTGTGAAACACAAGAAAAACCTCCAGACCATCTTAGGTTATTTGTGTTCGAACTTCGAACTTTGTCTATAAAGACACGTCAATGAAACTCGCCTATGCTTTTAACGAATATTCAATATTGAACCATTGATAAACGTTGTTTATGAGTGGCAATGGCTTAAAGTTAATAACAAAATGTATGCAGATTTTCTGCATTCGAGGCGCCAAATCGAAGCTAAACATACGACCGAGAATAACCTTTCGCTGGCCATGCGCACTCGCGCTAAACGAACATTTTTCTCGAGGGCGGCAACCTTAGCATCTCGTATTTCCACCCGTCTCTCCGTTGCCGTGTTCGGTTTAGTGAGTGAAAATTCTGAATAACATCCATTCATTTATCGTTGTGGGGCGCGGACGGTGGCATTGAATTTGTTTCGCCGCGTGTCACAAACTAAACAAAGGCAATTCTTCGGTTTTGAATCGTTAAAATTTATTGAAAAATGGAGGCCGAAAGCCCCCCAAAAGTTCAAAAACCGTTTAAATTATGTAACCATAACCGAGAAATTCGTAAAGGAGTTGTCGCATCGTCGTTAGAAGACTTAACCTCAAAAGTACAGGAAAAGTTGGACGTTGCGGTTGATAATAGTTTTACGGTAGTTCTGGAAGCAGACGGCACTGAAATAGACGATGAAGAATATTTCGCCACTCTGGATCCAAATACTAGCCTAATGATTTTGAATGGAAATCAAAAGTGGCTGCCTGCTTACCCCACATGCAATTTAAGCAAAGACCAAGTTGACGCTGCGAAAGGTGACGAATTAGCCGGCTTAGTAGGTCGTTTAAAAACGAATCTTTGTCATTTATCATTACTCGGCGGTCCGGAATTGGAATTACTTAGTGATATGGATCCAGATTCGTTGGCAGATTTAACGTATCCCGACAAAATTTTCCTGGATCAACTGAAAGAAGCATCTGGCCGATTTTTATGCGAAAAACGCCAAGCGCAAGATGCCATGGATTTATTAAGACTGTATCAGGAAAAAGAGGCAGCGGAGTCTGAAGCTAACTGAGTGATCCTGAATGTCTTATTAATGCACTTGATGTTTTACCGATATGTAAATCCCCTTTTGTAATGTAAGTTTCAATAGATTAATTATTAAATAGTATTATTTTTGAATTTTTGTTTGTTATATTAAGTAAACATTAGTGCTTTTTGCATTTTCTTAATGTTAGTTATTATTGTTATATGTACAATATAACAATTTGTTTCACATCAGTTGATTTTTTTATTTGGGAATGATTATCCTTAGTTCTAATTTAGATGTGTTTGTATTTAGATTTTTTGGCATGAACAAATTTTGTTTGCTTGCAAAAGCATTGAAGGTTGAAGTGCTGAGATCTATAGCGTCTACTCTCATTTTCATGAAATCGAATACACCTATTACATTATACTAGTGAATAGTTAATTTAACACAATAAACGCAGTTTTCGTTTCTTTATGAGTGATCGGTATCATCAATTCTATTGAAGTTACTGAAAACGTTTCTGGTCGTTTGTCGTTTAGAGGGAGTGGTGAATCAGCTTTGAATAGCTTGTTGACTTAATTTTAGTAATAATCCGCATTTGCTGCTGAATAAAAATGTACTCTTGATGAAAATTTGAATGCGGCGTTCATTGAGGGATTTTTCAATTAAAATATGTCCAAATATTACTATTGTTTATACCCGGTGGAATTAAAAATTTTGCCGTTAATCCTATAAAATCAGCGTGAAAACACTTTCCATATACAGTGGTGATTTAAAACTGGCGACATTTCTCTGGAAGTGTTGTCTTCAGGTGGTGGGTCTTCAAGGGTGTTTTCAGAGGACAAAAAAAATTGTTAAAAAAATTAATTGTTATTAAAAAGCTCCAAAAATCTATGTCAGAAGAACGGCATCAATGTTTTCAAGATACCTAATCTGGGTAATTAACATTTCGTAAATACCTGTTGCTTCGTAATTATCTAAAACTTTTGTAGGCAAGATAAAATACCGAAAGTGACAACAAAATAGATAAGGATAAAAGTTAAATTTAATAGGATTCGTTAAATGTAGGGATATACTTTTAGAAATGTCAATATTGTTAACAAGAACAGTCAAGAAATTGTTCTTTATTGTCATCATAACCTCGAATGGATGTGTTTAGAAATAAACTTACATTTCAGTCTTTAACTCCAAACAAGTTATTGCCAGTGTAATCACTTTATAGTGCACTCTTCTCGAGCAGCTTCTCGTATTCGGTTGAATAACTCCTGCTCAATTTGTACCGGTGTTCAATTAACCATTAACCATTATATAGTAATATAGCCCTTCCTCGGCAATTCTCTACAATATCTTCCTGTTCCTAGCACCGAACAACATATATTGTCGTCTACTATCTTCCTAGAGTCAATGTTCCAGTGCCTGTAGCCCTTTCTCGTCGTAAGTTCTTACAGCCTATGCTGTTACTATGGCATTTCCCCAAAACTGATCGCATCGTCGCAAATTCGATGTTGGTGTACATTTTGTGAAAAGAGCTTCAAAGTAAGCCACAATTTGACAAATGCTTGATATTCTTAAGAAAAGCTATACAGTACATAGCATACTACCTGGTGATGGGAAAAACATTGCCGCTTTGACATTTCATCAAAAAATTGTAGACGGAAACTTTTTTAATATAAAACTTTATAAAACTCAGTAATTTGAAGCAAAGGTGGTAATTTTTCATTTCGAATGTTTAGTATTCCAATAGGCCACCAACAAAACATGGGCCCTGTTCAAAGTAATGCTTCATAACAAAGTTGAAAATTTGATTTCCAACTGTTAACATATTCTAGACATTTTCGAGAAAAATATTTAAAAACATTTTTTCACGTCACCTTCTCAAGTGAGCCGCTATTACCCCTTAGAAAGAATAACTTCAATTTTCAATCCCGCCTCTATAGGCAAAGTCCTCGTACTGCAGAAAAATTATATCCTTTGATGTAAACTGCTGTGCAAAGGTTTTTTCTTGGTCGGTTTCTACTTACGGATGCGTTTTGCATACTCAAAAGTGTGCATTATAATACATTTGCCTACGGGTAGGATACCTTAACTTCTTGGGGATTGTGCTAATATTTTGTAAAAAAGTCGGTCTATGGTGTGATTGCTAAATCGACTAAAGCCTACCCCATTCCATAAAAGTAACTACATTTACCATGTTCAGTTGTAATTGTTACGTGTTTAGAATTAAACGTTGTATTGATTTGACGCATCTCGTCAAATTAATTGTTTAATTGACTTGACTGATTAATTTAATTAATCAAGTTAATTGCTTTATACCGCGTTTTATCAGAAAATAGGCTTTCTCCGTTCCAATGTTCGTATATCAACACTTATTTCTTGAATTTTGGCAATTATTCCAAGTGAGGACGTGAAAGGATCGTTTCAAGCAATTCCTTTGATGTCCCTGTCTCCCTAATGTTATTTTCTTTAGTTTTTCAACTGAAATTGTTCCATGTTTAATTGGTAGCATATTGGAATACCTAGGAAAAAGAAGAAGAAAGAAGCTGAAAGAACTCACGCCAACAAAGGGCGAGGAGAGTGGTTCCAGGAAGATAGTGGACGACAATCGATTTTCGGGTTCCAGACACAGAGGAAAGAGTATTGGACATAATCGAATCAGGGCCTTCCAGGGGTACTCAGAGCACAATACCTAACACTTTCCCAAGCACCAAATAAATACCGAGGAAGGACTACATTCCTACCACGTTTGTACGATACACACTGCACAAGAAAATACAAATGGAGCAGAAGTTAATTAACTGAATACGAGAAGCTGCTTGATAAGAGTGGATGATAAGGAGATTACACAGGCACTAGCTTGTTTGGAGTTAACCATTCAAATGTTTGGTGTTGTATGGATTATTTGTAAACACCAAATCCCGCCGATACAATTCGAGATTATGAGAACAGGTTGACATTTCAAAAGTACGTACCGCAGTCAACGAATCTTGTTGAATTTAGCATTTATCCTTGTCTATCTTATTGTCACTCTGTATAATTCCATGGTTACCGGAGTTTTAAATAATTACGAAGCAACAGGTATTTGTGCAATGTTAATTACCATGAAAAACTTTGCTGCCGTATTTCTGATATCGTTTTTCGGAATTTTCTCAGTTTTTAATAACAATTAATTTCTTTTAATATTTTTTCAGTACTCCTATAACAGCGCCAGACAACACCTCCAGAGGAATAACACCAATTTTGAATCACCCTGTATAAAACTGTAAATGTTGGGATTTGCGTTGTTCTCCTCATTCTTATGACGTATGTGAAAGGATCTCCCAGAGCAAAGCGATGGGTTCTGCTGGTTTACTTTATGTCGATTTTACTTATAAAAATTCTTGTCAAACATCCCTTATACTTAAGTGCTTTTACTTGCTTATTTGCTTTTTATGGCGTCACTACAAGGCAATTACCAGCTCCATTACTTGACCACCTTAAGGTAACGTTAACGTCTTATTTTTCATTGTCACAAGCATTGAGTTTTAAAAATTTAAGATTTAGGACTTATATGTGTGCAACGTCCGGTTTCAGTTCATGAAATTCTATATAGCCACACCACGCTATTACACTACTGAAGCAGAGTGCTTTCCTTAATTTAATTCGATAAAGTTTATTTAAGTGGACATGCCAATGCATTCTCTCTATGTAGGCTGAATGCTCTCTGTCATGAGTTTTTGCTTTAACATTTGTCTTTAGTCAATTTTGTTTCAAATTGAGTGAAAACGTTTTTTGCGGATCATCGCTTAAGGTAGTGGTCAAGGTGATGTTTACTTGATTGAGATGCAATATTTTATTTTGTTTCAATACGACTTGTAAATTCTTATTGCAGTTTTGGTTCTTCCAAGTGGATGTGTTGATGGATCATCACTGTCTTAAATTGCTTTCTTCACGTTAATAAAATTTAGGTCTTGCTGCTAACGAAACTTATTGTGGCTAGTGTTATCAGTGCTTTTCCCGATTTATTGGCCAATAATGTGGGCCAATTATTGAAGATCATTTTGGCCGTCATCTACTTTAGAGTTGGATAATGCTCTCGCGATCAATTGGTGCAATTTCAGGAAAACCAAAATAAATTTCAATACTTTAGTTCTGTTGTTGTGTTCTTCTTCTGTTCTGTGTAGATCATAGCATATCAATAGCCAAATTCTTGGCTTATGCTTCCAAAGAAGAGACTATTTTTTTATTAATTTGATAAACTTGCCAACGTCGGCATTGCACAGTTAACAAACAACAAATAAACCCTTTCTCAAAAAATGTGCACAATCCGCATTAATTTCCAACATGTTCTATATCCGCAGCAAATCGTACGATTTATCAATCGCAGCCTGGTTTCACGGATTGTGCTCATATCAAGGCAGCCTGGTTTCACGGATTTTGCTAATATCAAGGCCCTGAGGGTTACAGATTGGCATTACTCTAACATGACGTAACTTAGATAACTATTGGAATCGCTCGGTAATGGTGTACTTATTGAAAATATCGACTTTACGTTTTCGCGCTTTTACGTCTTCTTGGATTGATTCTTAAGTTATCATATGTTATTGCTATATTAATTATTTTTCAATTTTTAATAACTTTTTGAGCGTTTTTCAAAAGTTCGAGCATTTGGGCTGTTAAGTAATTAACTAAACAAACATACATTCTCTAAACTGTGTAAGTCTAATTAAATTGTCAATATTTCAAATCTACGGATATCGGACCAACTCTATTTTATATAAAACTTCATAACCCATAAATATATAAGTATATATTTTTTCTTCCAAATGCATACTTACCGAGTCATATGCGATTGTTTCCGGGAAAAACGCGACTTTCGCATTTTTGTTGTCACTTTTTCGTTGTCTATGCAAAAAGCACACCTTAAAAATAGACAATAAAATAAGAAAAAGTCGTCAAAGTTAAGCTCAAGATTTCAACGAAGTAATATAAGTTTAAAAATTAAAAAATCACGAATTTTTTAACATTGCCACGGTTTATTCACTGAATTAAGTTAATTTGAAATAAATTGTTCACGAATTAAACTGTACTTCGATTGTGTAAAACCTATTCTCAAGTGGTTGGGAATATCAT